CCGTTACTTACTCATTCTTAGTTTATAAAATGACGTTTTCAGTAGGTCTGATTACGAAAGGTAGAATGAAAGAATGCTCACATAACAATGAACTAAACAGGATGTTGAAAGAAGGGGTAGTGACATAGTCTAACGTACAAGCCCGCAACATGTCTCACTGGATTGAGAAAACCTGTGAAAAATCTCAAGCTACTATATTCAGCTTTCGCGGTAAGATTTTAACTGCGGAATACGAGGCAGGATTGCTACCCATTCAACCGCGATGTAGGTGAGAATTAATTAACCTCCTGCCAGAAATGTGCCCATAAAACGGCGAGTCATTCCATGGATTTGCATATGTACGGTACACCACTGTTTCCCAAGAGCTCTGGTCGTTGTGTGAAACACTTACTTTGATTACAGGAAATTTCGCCTTCCAGTGTATCGATCTTCCCAACGAATTTCTCCACTTGGAACGGCCTTAACCGTCAGCAGCTCAGAAATTCAAATGGCTCTTAACAGCTGAAGTGAAAAGTCGCTATCAATCTCTTAGTCCTGAAATGGGTGCTACTTTACTCCAAGTGTGTTCTTGCAAAATTCATGTCAACAATGATTACACTTTCTGAAGAGAACCGACTTAAATTTGCAACTAAAAGACCTGCCGGCTGTAGAGTTCACCCAGCCTCTTATCCAACGGGTTCCGGGGACTCTTTCCCTGGGGTCAAACCGGCCGGGGCATAAAGCTGAACACACCTCCATCTAGTGCCGAGGTCAGGAATGGTCGAGCTATACCTCTACTCATCCATACGTTCTCACTGCGTGGTGCTTAATTAGTTAAGCACCGGGACAACTTTAATTGGGATATCTTATTACAACAAAGCAACCGAGCTCAATTTTTGTTGGTACACATTGGACAGCTTGTATCAGACCAAAATCCCAATCTTATTTTTGATGAGGATAGGGAGGAGCCAGTTGAAAGTGAATTTCCATCTAATTACAACGATCTGTTATTTGCTGTGAATATTTATACTTCTGGCTAGCAAACGAAATAAGTCCAGATACGAAGGTATAAGTGAAGTCCTGTGTTAATTTAAATTAGAAGTCACGATGTCCTGTGGGAAATGGAGCAAAGCTTCGTGCGTTTGTAACCTCGGAACTACATGGAGGTGTGTGGACAACTTTGCATACCGGTCGCTTTACCCCTGGGGAAAGACACCCCATTTTCCACTGGATAAAAGGCTGGATGGGCCCCATGGCGTAGACGTGGTGGCGAGGAGAAAACCCCCCTTGACCGCTCAGCCTGCAGCCACTCATTTTACTGAGCTACAGGAAGGCAAACACGGAGTAAATTTATGCTGGAAAAGGTGACTGTGTCTGTTGAAAAACAATGATTTATTTGTGAATTGTTGTGCTTTTGGTTCCTACTGACCTTAAATCAGCCAGAATAAAGGCTACCGACCCCTATTCTAAATTATATGTGAAGTTTAGATTTGTTTTCAAAAGAAATTCTATTATTCAACAGAGGCAATTAAACTCTTCCAGTGCTCTTCAAGGAACCATCTATGTCCAGTACTATCCTTATTCTACAATTGTTCCACTTACCGATGTAAAGTTATTTGACAAATTATGGTATTTAAGTGTATTTTGGCCAGTCACGGTAGCCGAGCGGTCTAAGGCATGTACTGTCTTCGCTCGCTTGGAAACCGGGATCGTGGCTTCGAATCCCACTCAGGGCATGGATGTTTAGTTTGTGTGTGTGCGTTTTTCTGTATTCGTGTACAGGTAGAGGCCTTGCGACGAGCTGATCACGCGCCCAAGGAGTCCTATCGAATGTGTAAGGTCTAGAAAAACCGAAGTGAACGGAGAAGTTCATGGAGGTGGGCCTAGGCCCACTGGGGCTATAGTGCCAAGGCAAAAAAAAAGTGTATTTTGTTTGGTATCAGAATTCAATGTTTCGTAATAATCTTAAGCCGATCACGGTAGCCGAGTGGTCTTCACTCGCTCGGAAGCCGGGATCTTGTGTTCGAATCCCACACAAGGCATGGATGTTTGGCCTGTGTGTTTGTTCTGTGTTTACGTTGTCCTGTGTTTAGGTAGAGACCTTGCGACGAGTTTATCACTCGTCCAAAAAGTCCGACCATCTGTAAAATGATCAAAATGAAAAAAAAAACCTTTACACCGTAAGGTATAAAAGGAAAGGATTAAGTTAAGTAAGTAAGAAATAATCTTAATTAAGACACAAACGCCGAGCTGTCTGCATAAATAAGAACATACTATTCACATGGTGCCGACAACAGTCGCCGCGCAATCTAAGGCATAAAATATCTTCGCCCGCTCGAACACTGGGGTCGTGGATGTCTGTTTATTCTGTTTGTATTAGGGCGGGTACTCACTATATCGCTGCAACGTGCAACGCAACGGTTGCTGCAACAGTTCGCAGTGAGGCGCGCTGTGACCCATCTGGCTGTCAGTATTCTGGCGAACACAAAGCGGCGCGCAGTGTGTTCGTTGAAGTGTGGAGAGACATTTCATAATTCACGTCTTCGCTACGAACTCTGCGGAGCAACTAGTGTTCGAGTTTAGGTTCGGTGAACGTACACATCATACGTGGTTGCAGCAACCGTTGCGTTGTAGTGAGTACCCGCCCTTAGGTATCGGCCTTGCAACGGGCTGATTCCCCGTCTGAGAAGTCCTACCGGCTGTCTTAGATTAACGAACTGAACTGAAACGAGGCATTTCACGGATGCCCTATTCTCCAAGTGGGAGCAACGGAAACAAAGACAGACAGATTTACATGATGCTAATACAGCGTATGAAAGCCCCTTAAATGAAGCCCGCTGTGTCTTTTGTCTCTTGAGTTATGTGACGTCATTAACAAAACAGCTATGACCTCATCCTCACCTATCTCTCCCCCACAGTTCATATCGGACAGACGAATCCCCCTCAACGGCTTTTGTATTAAGTAATGTCCTTGTTAACGGTCAAATTATTGGGCTGACCTAGCCCAGACCTTAATTCTGCTTATCGGCATGTTACTATCAACCCATGTTGCTATGAAGTATCGGCAACATTCAGCTCAAATGCATTCTGAAATACACAGGAGCAAGATGGCTTTAAAAAGTAATTACACGATTAAAAAATATAACCAGAATACTGTTGCGTGTTTAGGGGTGTTAATACAGACGGGGCATTGACTGGCGAATGGATTTTTTGACCACTCATACACAACAGCCGGAACTACAAGCAATTACAGCGCTACCGCTAATCTACACAATTTACAAATCACCACAGCACCTGCCAAGCCTTTTTCCAGCCTGCTGTGTCTTCAGCAGCCGTCAGCAATCTATGGTAGCAATTAAAGCAAAAAAAAAACTCTGTGGTTTTAGTTCGCAAGCGAACTATACAGACCGAGCGACCGACGCTTGTCGGCGAAATTAGTGCCAACTTTAGCGGATAGAGGGTGTCCCCACGGCCGTTAATTTCGATTTTCTAGACCGGAGCCGCTATTTCCTTGAAACAGACCCTCAATTATCCTCACGAGGCTGAGTGGACCCCGTTTCAGACCCACTACTTCTCAGAAAATTTGGTAACGCCGGGAATCGAGCCCGGACATCTGGATCTATAGCCAGGAACTCTGACTGATAGACCACAGAGGCGGTCAGCAATTAAAGCAAGAAATACTAATAATAAGAAGAAGAAGACTTCCTTGACTGCTAGGCTTATAAATTAGCCCTTCACCCAGAGATATGCTCGGCGAATGAACAACAGTTTATCAATTATACCTCTTACACAGAGCCCTATACAGAGTGTAAATGAATACATATTACAACGCTCTGTGGTAGATACATGGGTTCAATCTGAACATATTTTGTTAATATACCCATGTCCGGAAACGCTTCCTTTCTGCACTAAGGGCCTCAAAAGTTTCCGAGAGGATGCATAAATTTTAATGGCTGTTATCGTTGTTTTACATTTTAAAAGTTGCTCAAAATGGTGGCCGCCGACTTCATTGCATGTTCTGCACGGACTAGCCGTGTTATACTGAACCCTTTGAAAGATTCCCGGAATTTCCCGGATGGTTCCAGCTGCTACTGCAATTCTTGCCACAAGACCATGTTTTGTCTCCACTGGAGTCTCGTACACCATGCTTTGCATGTGCTCCCAGAGAAAGAAATCCAATGGAGTCAAGTCAGAGGAACGAGGCCAGATTATTGGGCCTTCACGTCCAATCCACCTGTTTCCAAAAGTTTCATCCAGTTACTCAAGGACGACATTAGTGCAGTGCGCCGGGGCACCATTACGCTGGAATCACATTTCACGACAGACTTCCAAAGTCACCACTTCCAGCAGCTCCGGTAAGATGTCTTGGAGAAATGTTACCAGAGTTCCCGGGTTCGATACCCGGCGCTACAACATTTTCTGAGAAGTAGTGGGTCTGGAACGGGGTCCACTTTGCCTCGTGAGGGTAACTGAGGAACTATTTCAAGGAAATAGCGGCTCCGGTCTAGGAAACAGAGATTAACGACCGTGGGGATCCGTTTCGCTGACCACGTGACACCCTCTATCCGCAAAAGTTGGCACTAATTTCGCTGACAAGCGGTGGTCGCTCTGTCGGTATAGTTCGCTTGCAGACTACAGGCCATGGGGTTTTCTTTTTGTTTTATAGAAAAAAACAATACATAACCTAAACAGATTCCACAACTGCAAGTAAATCAAAGAAAGATGTATGAATAATATACGTGATTTGAAAGATCGGATAACATACAGGTATAACATTTTGACGTTTCAGTAAATACTGTATTGGAGACCATTCGGGGTGCTACAGCCCCTCTTCAGACACACAAGTAGAGCCAGAGATTTTTTTTTGCAAATCCTTCACAGTGGAATATAAAATTCTTTCTCTTTTTGTTTGTAGGTCCGAGATTGGTGGAAGACATGCTATTCTACAGCCAGCTACTCTCATTTTAATACCCTTTTACTTATACTCATTTGACTAATTGTAACTACTAATTTATACGTACCATCAGTACAGCTAAATCTGTGTCCATAACGTCTTGTATTTATGCACTGAGATCATATTTTTTTAACTTTTAACACAATTCCCTACACACAATAACCTATCGGAGCGCGACAGGAACGCGGTAAAGAAAATGTACAGATTACGGACTTGCTACTCACTGTTATTGGCGGGGAATGTGACCGCCGTGACGTAACGAATACATAATGCTGCCATCTGCTTGCAGCGTTGACGCTAACTAACTCCATGGAGCGGAGAGCTTCTTGAGAAGCCGCCAATTTTGTAGCTATTCCAACATTTCCCAACGTTTTAAGGAACCCAAACGTTCATTACCGTGTTCAGAAGATCCCACCACTGGTCCCTGTCCTAAGCCAGATCAGGCTATCGCTGCAAATGGCGGCAGCCACTACCGAGAGCTCAGTCGTTAAAATCGTTAGTTACTCCCTACTATACTTGGCTATGCGTACTAGGCCTCCCGAACCGAAAATTCACTAAACGAAAATAAAAATTTTGCCACCCCGATCTCTTGAACTGCAGCGATTCGTGTTTCGTTTTCAGATATGAGCCTAATAACACTTCGCTCAGCTATTAGGAGAAAGTTTATCAGCAGTACACACTTAATTTACATCAATCCTGCATATCCTTACTGACGTGCACTGGTCATATTCATAACTGTTTCGGTGAACCTCAATGAAAAGTCTGTTTCAATCAGAGATTTTTGTATTAAACCTTATAACTTTGTTCACTACTAACTTGAAAATTACATAGAACATAGTTTTCCAGTTGCATGAATGTATTATAAATTACGAATAGCAAGCAATAATACTGAGGTTTATGCATATGACTAATTGCAATAGTATGATGAAACTCAAAAATCTTAAATACAATCTTGTTAATAAAATGAATATTGAATTTAATAATACATCAAAAAATTTGTTTTATTTCTATTCAACATAATCTCTGCCCAAATATATGTGTGGAATCGTTCAAAAGTTTTTGAAAACAGTAGGCGAAGGCCTCAAAAGGAACAGCGTTCAGTTCGGCCGTTACATTTTTCTTGCTGTCTTCTTCAGTTGTGTTGTAACTTGCGTTAACAGCATTTCTGTACAGCATGGCAAGAATGAGCGCTGATACAAGATTTGAGGTGGTGAAGATTCGTGTTGTAGTCTTCTGGATTATAACGTCACAGTGTCTGATAGGAGGCCACTAAAGTTTTTGAGGAACATACTGTCTTTATCTCCAGGATGTGTGGAAGGAGTGTGATCTCAGAAACGTCACTTGCGAGACTACACAAGGCCACAACCCAGAAGGTGACAGTGTGAATTACAAAGAGCTGTTGAGTCAAGGATTATAATTAAAAATGCCTTTTTGTTTTTACTCCATTGTACATTTCAAACACATTTTAAATACAAATATAAATGTGACCTGTAAGTTTTTTACTACATGAAAACTTAACACCCTTACATATTTCGGTCTCTGTGGACCATCTTCAGAGGGCAAACATCACTACAAATAGGAAACCACCATCACATAAGTTGTTTAGATGTAAAGTACGTACACTTATATGCTACAATACATAGTACACAAAATAGAACATTTCACAAACACAGCAGTTTCCTGGGAATGTAAAGTTTTTTTTTTTAAAAATTGTATAAAATTTCTTGATGCTAATTAAAAATTTTTTGGATTGTCAATAATTAAAATTCGTAAACCATGCAGGCTCGTGTTCGTCCCCCCATCCTCCCTCTTATATGGGGCAGATATTGTGCCACCTGGCTATCTTGATATGGAGGTTCTTTATATCGTCCAGGCTTTGCTCGTGGCTGCTGACAGCAGCCACGAGCAATTGTTAGTGTGACGGACCAGAATGAAACAAATCAAACACATTTTAAATATTTTCCAAAATGGCATTAATATCCTGATGTGGTTTCTTTTCTCTCTAGAATGTTATAGAGACTGTCAACAATGCACAAATTTTTAAGTATATATTGCACACAATCTCCTGGGGGGGAGTGTTTCTAGAGGAAATGTCATGCAGGCGTTACAAGAAAAAGTGCGAAGATCAGAGGGAACATCATGGCTACAAGATTGGAACATGGAATGTAAGGACCTTGAATCAAGCAGACAAATTGGGAGAATTTGAAAATGGAAATGCAGAAGAATGAGGTGTCTGTTCTAGGTGTCAGCGAAGTGCGGTGAAAAGGACAAGGTGAAATAAGAAGCGGTGATTATACAGTGTATTATTCCGGAGGTGAACGGGCTGAAAGAGGTGTGGCAATAGTGGTGCATAAAAGTGTAGTGAGGAGTGTTGTTAAGAA